AAAAAAGAAAGGAAAATAGACTCACTTCACATTAGATCATTAGCCCATCAATTAAAAACATGGAAAACCTAATCTTAGTATTATTATTTTTTGAAACAAATCTAAAATGGAAATTAAAGAAAAAAATCAGTTAGTGAATTGTTTACACTATAAATTATAAATTTTTAAGTGATGCCATGTGTTAATGAATAAAGTGAGGTTGCATCAGATTTATTGGTTGACTTAGATCACTTGTTGCATAAAAATTGATTTTGGGAAATGGTGACATTTATCTTATTAGTTGCAATTTAAATTGAAAAGAAATAGAAATTCCTATAATTTAGGAGGAAGTGCAGTTGAGGGGTTGAGATAGCATTAGAATGGTATAGGTGGCAAGATCTAATGCAACCTTGACTAGGTCCTATTGATGTGTCCAGTTTTTTTGAGAAACTATTAATGTTGTAGAACAGCCAACAAGTGAAGTGAGAGGACAGTTCGCAGAAAATAAATAAAAAAGAAAGTTTCGAATTATTCGACACATGGTCAGCCCTACACAACTAAGAACCAATTAGCATTCTCAAGTTTTGTTAGCAACTGCTTGCTTTAGTTTACAGATTTTGTTAGTAACTACTTGCTTTAGTTTATAGATTTCATCTTCCAGCATAGTACTTTGTAGATTCTATGTTGTTTCAAATATTTAAATAGCTAAATTAATTCTTGTATTTGCTTCCACAACTACATTTCATGTAGTGGACAATAAGTATTTTAATTTTTGCAAGGTACTGTTTCTTTTCTGATCATTGTTTATTTTAAGTTTATGGTAAGTAGCGTTTTTCATCAAATGATTACTTATATGACGTTCATGCTTCTTTTTTATTTTATTTTCCATGTTAGTTTAATCTTTATTCATACATGTTTTATGGTTAATTAGTTTTAAATTTCCAATTTTGTGGTAGTTAAATTTGCAAATCTATCTATAGATCTAGGTTAATTTGGCTTTGAACATAGTAGTTTTAGTTAAGATGCGTTCATCTTTGGCAAGTCTACTTTAGTTTGCATTATTTAGGATTTGTTAACTTTTAATTTACAATATTGGTAAAGTCTAAGGCAGATTAGTAACCCATTCTGTAAGAAGGCATCTTTCTCTCTTGCAAATGATCTGAAGGCATAAATCTTAAACTAATGTTCTTTCAATCATCCTAACAGAAGTTGACCATGTGGAAGGAGAGGGTCATTGGAAAAACCTTTTTTCTTGCTTTTCAAAAAAGTAAGTAACATGTCCGTATCAAGATTTATCTCGTATAAAACCACTTGAGGATTTTTAAAGAAACAATTGAGGTAAGGGATAATGGTTAGCAATGTCTCATTTTCAATATGCAGATGAGGGAAGATGGTTAAGTTTCTGCTCAAGGGTACCCAATAAGGAAAAGAAAAAGGCAAAG